AAGTTCCAAATTTAAACTCCGATTGGGCACCAAACCCTCTGGGTATTTTTAGGCTATTCTTTGTCTCATTCCACCTAAATCTGCCCCCTCCACAAGACTGTGATGCCTCTTCAGGGCATTCTGCATGCACTGGGTTTTCAAACAGTTTCTCATCCATGTCCCAAAAGGGCTTTTTTCAAGAGGCAAATGGGAATTTCTGGTTTTTCTTTCAAGACTTTTTGTTTCTCATCCAAGAAGCTTCTTCTGCTCTGACTGGATGGTGGATTGACAGACTGAATCCTTCCACTCCCCACCATCCAGTCAGAGCGAAAGAAGCTTCTTGGATGAGAAACAAAAAGTCTTCAAAGAAAAACCAGAAAGTCTCATTTGCCTCTTGAAAAAAGCCCTTTCGGGACAACCATAACTTGGATGACTGTGAATTTTCACAGACATTTCTCATCAATGTCACATTTTTCTGGCCCACCGTTGCGCCCTAACAAAGTTACTCACCCCACCAAAATTTCGGAAACGTGCCAGGACTTCATTGTTGATGAAACAGGCCTGTGCTGGGTTAGCCAAGGCCTGGTCCAAGACATGATCAATGAAATAGATGCCAGGCTCCACGGTCAGCACCATGCCTTCCAGAAGGGTACGGGCCGTTCTCAAACTCCGGAGACCTGGCAGGTCAATGCGATCGACTCCCTGGGAAAAGAAAGGGTGCATCAATTCCATGAGGAGCTTGTGGTGTCTTTCAGCCCACCAGCCGTAGAGGCCATGTTGGCGCCAGATGGAGACTAACAGGGAAGGGCACCACCGAGGCCACGGCAGCCGAAAAGACTCATGGGTTGGGCCAGCATGTTCCATATTGCTCTGACTTCATGGAGGGAATTCTAAGTTATAAGCTGTGGGCTCAAAAGTCCCTGGAAGGAAGGCTGGTCTGTGGGTCCCCCCCCCCCCGACATACGCTAGGGCCGTGATAGGCCTGCCACAGGTGGCATCCAGAGCCTTCCCTGCGGGCACACAAGCTGTTGCACCAACTCAGCTCCACCGCGCATGCGCGTACACCACCTGCCAGCCATCTGATTTGGGGGTCACTGCTGCGCATATGCAGGGTGCATGCGGGAGATGTGTGTACTTGTGTAGGAAGGTGGGGGGGGGGTCATGTGTGCATGCGTGAGGAGCGTGGGAAGGGCATGGGTTTCAGCCCCCGTGAACCATTTTTGCTCCCAGGAGACTGCTGGGAGGTTTACTGGGCCCAAAATGGGGCATGGGGGTGGGTCGTGTGTGCATGAGCAGGGGGAGTGCAGGGGGTCACATGTGCCTGCGCAGGGTTGCAGGGGGAGTGCGTGTGTGTGTGTCTTGTGTGCATGCCCAGGGGGCAGGGCACACAGGGATGTGCCTCAAGCACAGGTACATGCTTTCAGCATGTGACGGCAAGAAGGTTAGCCATGAGCCTGAACCGTTTCAGGATCCAATCGGGTCTCCAGAAGTCCCTTGGCAGCTTCATGGCTTGCCTGCACTCCCCCACAGGGGCGCTGGTGACCAGATGTAACCCAGGTGTGCTCAGGGGTTGCTCAACCCAGCTCCAGAGTGTGCAAAAGTCTCCAGTGATAGATTCTGTTTTGGGTTGGCTGCCCAACAGGGAGGAACTGACCTCTGGGTAGCCACCCACGTCGTGAACGTCGATGCCAAGAAAGTGTCCCAGTCCGTGAGGCATAAATACGGCACCCAGGTGGACCTTCACCATGTCCTCAACGCTGCCGCGGAGAAGGCCAATTTTCTTAAGTTCTTCCAGGTGGACTCGGTCTGCCAGACGGTGCATTTCAGGCCAGGCCACCCCTTGGGGAGAGAGAAAAACAGTCCTGTTATTTCGTTGTTCTTATTATTCTTTCTTATCACGCCTGTCCATTTTCTGAGTCCCCCGAGAGAATTCCCCACCCCACAACGGAGGGTCCATCTGGAGAAAGCAGGCAGGGCCCCACGTTGAATGCCTTGGGGGTTGGGTCACTCTACTCCACAGACGCTAGCCTTTCAAACTGAAGTTACTGAAAAGGCACGGCGGTTAGCAAATATGTTCTCCTGGGCTAGTTAAAGCCCTAACACAGTTGTGTCTGGCCCATGGGCTCCATGGGGTCCTAGAGAGCTGGTAATTCAGCCCCACAAGGTCATGCACTTTTCACATGATGTGAGTTATGCACATTAACTATATTACATATTTTATACGTGGCCCAAGGCAATTCCTCTTCCCTCAGGGAAGCCCAGGGAAGCCAAAACGTTGGACACCTGTGCCCTAGCACAGTGGTCTCCAACCTTGGCAACTTTAAGACCTGTGGACTTCAACTCCCAGAGTTCCTCAGCCAGCTTTTGTGGGAGTTGAAATCCACAAGTCTTAAAGTTGCCACGGTTGGAGACCACTGCCCTAGCAGATGCATTTGTACAACAGGCCAAGGTTTCTTGCGGCTTAGCCTGTGGTATGAACTAGCCCCTTTGCAGCTTATGGTTCGGAACGTTCCGTAAAATAGAAAATGAGTCCGTTTTGGATTTCGTTGTGTTGGGAGAGCCTGAAAGTCTGGAAGGAACATGCGACCTCTGCCCAACTGGAAAAAAGAAATAGGGGGACATTTCAGCTCCCCCTTGATGTATGGCACAGGCAGAAGCCATAGGTCCCTGATGGCAAACCTGTGGCATGTGGAGCCATTTCTGAGGGCACACGAGACATTGCTCCAGCGCATATCCACCTGATTTTGGGCCGTTTCTCATCCTCTGGAGGCTTCAGGGAAGTCTCCTAAAGCCGCCGGAGGGAGAAAAACGACCCAACGGGCAACCCAGAAGTCCGTTTCTGAACTTCCGGTTTGCATGTTGGGCCGTTTTTCGCCCTCCTCAGGCTCCTAGAAAGCCTCTGGAGCCTGGAGAGGGAGAAAAACGGACCTACGGGGCCCACTGGAGGTCGGAAAACAGGCTGTTTACGGCCTCTCCAGGATCCAAGAAAGCCATGGGTGGGACAGCAGGGGGAGGGTCATGCGTGCATGCGCAGGGTTGACTCAGCCTTCTGTCTTTCCGAGGTGGGTAAAATGAGGACCCAGATTGTTGGGGGCAACAGGCTGACTCTGTAAACCACTTAGAGGGGGCTGGAAAGCCCCCATGTAAACCCTCTTAAGAAACACCCACTCACCCCTGCAAACACCCCCCCCCTGCAAAATTAGAGCTCATGACTTGCTCATATCATTGCATCAATTTAGGAGAGTATTTCAGGTTGAAATTTTTATCCGTAGAAGCTTTCTTAGAGTAGAGCAAATTCTGAAGGACTTTGAATACCGTATCAGCTTCCCATTAAGCTCTCAGTTTTGGGAAAGGATTCCAGTTGAGGAGGAATGGATGGGACTGGCAGAGAAATGCTGCTACTCCTTGGAATCTCCCAATATTAAACAACACATTCACCAAGTCAGGAAACCAGTTTCCCTGAAAATAAGACAGGGTCTTATTTTCTTTTGACCCCTGAAATAAGCGGTTGGCCTCATTTTCGGGGAGGTCTTCTTATTTTTGAGGTGCAGGAGACGGCGAACGTGGTCACCTCATGGCTGCTGCTGTGTTGCAGTATTTTCAGGGGAGGGCTTGTTTTAGCACATGCAGTCCAAAGCCTGACTGGGCTTATTATCCAGGTTGGCCTTATTTTCAGGGAAAGGGAGCATTAAAATCTCTGTTTTTCAGTTTCCGCTTTACTTTAGGCACTAAGGAAGAAGAAAAGCAGCAGAAAAGAAATGCTTCTGGCCCAAAAGCATTTACAGAGTACAGAATAACAGAGTTGGAAGGGAGCTTGGAGGTCTTCTAGTCTAATCCCCTGCTTGGGCATTTCTCCCTTTACTTTGCATTGGGAGCCTTAGAGAACTCCTCAGAAGCAAATCTACAACCAGACAACCAACCAACGATGGAAAACTGATGGCGTGATGGTCGATTCTTTGACAGGTTCCTGTGAGACAATCTGTCACCATGTTGAGGATATGTGCTAGGACAGAGGTCTTCAACCTTGGCAACTTTAAGACTTGTGGACTTCAACTCTCAGAATTCCTCAGCCAATCCACAAGTCTTAAAGTTGCCAAGTTTGGGGACCACTGTTCTAGGAGGTCCACTTTTATCGCTTTCTTTTACCCACAGTTGCAGTAGTATCAAAATGGGAGGTGAGACACTTCCTCTCTCAGTAGACACCATGCTCACAAGTTCCAGGAGGAATCCTCTAGGAGTCTCCAGGGATCATATCTCAGCCCCTTCCAATACCAAAATAATATCAGTGGGAGAAGTGGGGCTGCTATTTTGGCTGAGTATCTGCAAAGCAGAAACATGATTTCTACTTCTAGCCAGCAACTCACATTCATAGACACAATCCCGAGAATTGAGACATCCTAAGAAGACATTCCCCAGGAATGCCAATCAACTCTTATTTCAGACATCTGGGTGACCTGAAGCACACTGTTCTTTCCTCTTGGGCACACCTAGGTCCCACTTGCATACCAGGGGGATTTGCCACACAGCAGAAGGACTTCATCTCTTCTTCTTTTGCAGAGGATGAATTGCTGAATTCATGTCTGGTTGCTGAACCAAGACAAGGAACCAAGAAGTTAGCTCTTCCTTCTTTAGGTTGGCAGAATCACCAACTGTCGGCAATTTTTCAGTCACAGAACTCCTTCAAATTTTCAACTTGCTTCGTGTCCCCTTGGTGAAGAAGGCAGCTTCTGGAGGTGGGCGGGGGGAGGGGGGAGACCCACCCCGCTTAAACAAGGAATGTACTAGAAGCTGACACAGTGAAGCATTTCTCCCATTACTGAGCATCGATAGGAACCAAGCCCTGCCAGGTCCCTGGGAGAAAAGCCAGGAGCAAGAGAGGCAGGCCTTGGGCATCTATTCAATGGGAGCATCTCACCCAACCAAGAACATCTCAATGTGGCTTGGAAATTAGATAAACCCAGATGGCGCCAGTAGGTCCCTTCCAATGGATAGAAACTAATCAAGGAGAGAAGCAACCTGGAACTAAGGAGAAATTTCCTGATAGTTAGAAAAAGTAATCAGTGGAACAGAAGTTGCCTCCAGAAGTTGTCTCCTAGTGTCCTCTAGGCCAGGGGTCTCCAACCTTGGCAACTTTAAGACTTGTGGACTTCAACTCCCAGAATTCCTCAGCCAGCAAAGCAAAGCTGGCTGAGGAATTCTGGGAGTTAAAGTCCACAAGTCTTAAAATTGCCAAGGTTGGAGACCCCTGCTCTAGACTCCCCCGCCCTCCAAATCACAATTGTTGAAAACTGTCACCCATCTGGGGTACACATAAATACAACAGTGCTGTAAACCAGAAGTTGCCTGCAGAAGTTGTGGCCGCTCCATCACTGGAGGTTTTGAAGAAGAGACTGGACAGTCATTTATCTGAAATGGTAGAGGTTCTCCTGCTTGAATAGGGGGCTGGACTAGAAGGCCTCCAAGGTCCTTTTCAGCTCTATTCTATTCTAACTCTAATCCTGTGGGGTCACTGACAGAGCCAGAACCAGCCTCATGTGTTCAGCTGCAATGTGGCAAATTCTGACATGAGTCTGGACGCTCCTGTTGGAGCAGATAGCCTTGGTGAGGCTCAGGGGCCCATTGTGGAAAGGAAACTGCTGGTCTGAAGGAGCATAAGAAAGCAAGCAGAACCAGGGAGTCCTCAGTGGGCCAAGAACTGTGGTTGATACGGTCCATCCAGTCAACTCTGGCTCCTGGTGACTGCAAGAACAAGTCTCTATGAATTTTGGGGCAACATTTTCAGAAGTGCCTTTATAGCAATAACAACAGCACTTAGACTTCTATATCACTTCACAGTGCTTTGCAGCCCTCTCTAAGCGGTTTACAGAGTCAGCCTATTTGCCCCCCAACAATCTGGGTCCTCATTTGACCCACCTCGGAAGGATGGAAGGTTGAGTCAACCTTGAGCCAATGAGTTGAGCCACTCAACTCCTGAGTGGTCAGAGTTAGCCTGCAATACAGCATTCTAACAGGAAGTGCAATAGCACTTATATACCACTTTACAGTGCTTCACAGCCCTCTCTAAATTGTTTACAGAGTCAGCTATTATCCCCCAACAATCTGGGTCCTCATTTTACCCATCTCATAAGGATGGAAGGCCGAGTCAACCTTGAGCCTGGTGAGCTTTGAACTGCCAAATTGCAGGCAGCTGGCAGTCAGCAGAAGTCAGCTGCAGTATTGCACTCTAACCACTGTGCCACCACGGCTCTTCTAGTTCTAGAATTAGCCCCAAACCACCCAGTTGGCATCATGCCCAAGGCAGAACTAGAAGTCACGGTCTCCTAGAATCTAATTCAGCACCATCACTCCTAGTAGAGCAAATATTGTTGGGGGCAGAGGAGGGAGGTGTTTCCTGTATTGTTCACGATTCATTTTCCGCCATTCACATCACCGGATGAAATCAACACACTTGGCCTAATCAACTTGTCCATGCAAAATTGCTAAACTTTCTCTACCCATAGCCCATGTGAGATCTCACGTGTTCACTACAAGCCCACCTTTTGGGCAACTCTGGGTGTCAAAGATCAAAATCACAAAGCATAATAAAACAGGGGAAGAGCGGCAATGATAATAAAAACAATAAGGAAGTCTCATTCAATAGTGCCGTATATACATAATGGCCCCCATAAACGCCTGGTAGAGCAAGGGGAATAGATAAAACTTTTAGGGCAAGAGTTGGCAATGTGAAACCTTGGGATCATATGTGACCCTTCTTGGTGTCCTCTAGGCCAGGGGTCTCCAACCTTGGCAACTTTAAGACCTGTGGACTTCAACTCCCAGAATTCCTCAGCCAGCAAAGCTTAAAATTGCCAAGGTTGGAGACCCCTGCTCTAGACTCCCCCGCCCTCCAAATCACAATTGCTGAAAACTCTCACCCATCTGGGGTACACATAAATACAACAGCGCTGTAAACCATAAAGAGTGTCGCCTCCAGCTTATTCCCAAAGGCAGAAAAAATCCTGGCCCTGCCTAGGTATGGACATCATCCCGCTGCGATGCATGGGAATTGTAGTTCAAACCAAAGGGACCCTTGCATGATGGGCTTTAGCAACTGGAGCAGAGCTGCTGCGGGAAGAAACTCCGAAGAGCCGCTCAGGGTTAGTTTTAAGGAGGGGTTGGTTTTTCCAGATGGAGGAAATAGGAAACAGTTATTTCCATGAATAAAACCTTCGCGATAAATATCCATTCTTAAAGAGTCAAGTAAGAAATTGGCACCTCCCACTTTTCACCCACCTGGCTTTCTAGAGGCTGGTGTGGAGAGGACACCATGGGATTAATTAGCAGAACAGACACACACACAAAAACACACCCACACACAAACTTTGCCAATACCAAATCAAGGATGATTTGCAGAATTAGCAGAAATCTGCATGGGTGCCAGCCAGCCGTTTATCTTTCTGAAGGTCCTTTTCAGCATTTTTGGAGAGCAGCTTTTGACTGCTTGTTGTAATTATACCACTGAGTAGCCCAAAGGAGGCTTTTAAGAGCCATTTCGGGATTAACTGCTGCAAGGAACCAAAATACAAAATCCTAGCTCTAAGACCAGCCTAGAATGAAGAACGAGAGAACCTCACCTCTGCGACACCATCTCCGGGCAACTGATTTTCCTGCATTTAGAAAAGTTCCTCTCCTGAAGGGATATGCCAGGCCAGACTCAAGGACCAGGCCAGGCCAGGCCACAACTCAGAGCAGGTGGACCTGTGCCAGCTGTATGAAACTGAAGTGGAAGAAGCTTCTGCAGCAGAAATCGGCTTGCCAGTGTTTGAAAAGCTAATTGAAGGATCAGGTGTCATGCGCTGGAGGTGAAAGCCACACTGGGATGGCATTGGAGATGGCCAGGTCTACCAGCCTTCTCTCGAGGAGACCCACTAACATTTTCAAGCTGGAAAGCCCTCCTTCCACCACTGATCCCATCACACACCTTAGCAGAAAACCCCAGTTAGGTGTAATAAAGGGTTAGAAATACTTCCCTACAGACTCCAGGAGTGATCAAAGACAATGGAAGTTTTTTGTGTCTCCAAAGGAAGAGAGGAAAGGCTACAGAGGTGGAAAATAAAGAGGGAGAAAGACAGTTATGGAAGCAAGTAAAGATTCAGCACAAGCATTTCAAGCAATAGGCAAGTCTTCATTAAGGGAAATGTCAGAGCATCAATGCCTCCCGAACCTCTCATTCTTTCTGTCACTACAAGGTGCAATTTCTTTTAAAGCAGTGTTTCTCAACCTTGGCAACTTGAAGATGTCCGGACATCAACTCCCAGAATTCCCCAGCCAGCGAATGCATTGAAGTCCAGACATCTTAGCAATAGAAATAGCAGTTAGACTTATATACCGCTTCATA